CCAGAACTCACTAACATCTTTCACCCCAACAGTAGACTCGCCAATTTCTTGTGTGTTGCCTAGCTAGTTGGTCTTCCTTTCTCTCCCACCCTTGCTCCCCCAAATTTGATACTGCCTGGTGACTGATGCTCCCAAAGCTCAAGGCTTCCAACTCCATTCTACTAGTTTACACACTGCTAGTGATTTCCCGTTACAGTCACCAGCTTTGCTTTAAGCTCTTCTACTACATGTTAGCACTTATCAATAGGATGATCCGTTTTAGTTGTGGCTTTACAAGTTTTTGACGATGAGCATTTATAATTACATGCACACCTAGTTGCCATTAAACAAAATTATTCTGGGGGTCAGAGAGAACTCCCTGGACAAGGAATCGCTTTGACGCAGAGGTTTTGAAAAGTTGAGAAGGAGTTCGTTACACAGAGACGAGGAAAGGAATCCTGAGCAAAGGATTAATAGCCCGGTGTGTTTCCGGATCTATGACTCCATCTATGGAGCTGAGGTGGAAATGTGTACTGTGGGACATTAGTAGATGTTAAGGCTAGAGGCATAGTCAGAAGAAAACCAAAAACGAAGTCAGCTCCATGATAAAAATAATAGCAACCAATACCTACAAATTAGGGTCAGGGAGACGGCTCAGGAGAGGGCAGCATTTCCCTGGGTTGTACAGAAGGAATCCATGAGTTGGTGTCCACTCAACACCAACAACAACACCTACTGGGCACTGACTATCCATCAGTCATTTTCTAAACTCTTCCTGTCTTGCCCTTGGGCATCCTAGAGATTACCGACAGTCATTATCTCCATTTTATTTGTAAGGACATGGAAACTTGAAGAGGGCAAGTAATTGTTCCAGGTTGCCTAACTAGAACATGAGTGAGCTGGATTTTGACCTCAAGCAACCTAACTCCAAAATCTATTTTCTTAGTCATTAAACTATACAGATGTTCCTTTTTGTGTTGTTATACGGGTCACTGAAATTTGCAATTAAATTTTTTTAAGTGTTTCTGGTAAAGATAGTCCAGGCAATAAAAGAACCATACCTAGGCATCTTAGAACCAAGGTTGGAACTCAAATGTTTCTACATGGCCCAGAGGGGAAGCTGCTGGAGTGTGGTGACAGGGAGGGACGAGGGACATTGTGAACTGGAAAGTGCTCATCCATGTTCATTGTGAAGGCATCAACCATGGACAAAGGTGACAGCACTCTTATTTGTCAGCAGAAGCTCATAAGTTGGATTTTAACATGAAATTTCTAATTAGTAAAGAATATCTTGCTATATGAATGCCCATGCTTTGTCCTTAACGGCTCGTTTGTTCTCCTGTATGGATAAGGAACCCTAGTGACCCCACGGCTGAGTGCTCTGCTCCAAGCGGCTCCGTGGGAGAAAGACCTGGTGATCTCTTCCCATGGAGATAACAGCCTAGGAAACCCCATCAGGCAGTTCTGCTTCCGACACGTGGGCTACTATGAATCAGAATCAACTTGATGGCATACAAAGGTGATATAGGTTAGGTTTCTCCATAGTCCTAGATCTCTAGATGGCACAAATGGTTTGCCTGCTGAATCTGCCGACCAGCACCTCGGAAAAAAGACTTGGTGATCGCTTTAGAAAAGATCACAGCCAGGAAAACTCCGGGTCATCGTTCTATGTTGTACCACATGGGTTTGCCAGGGGTTGGAATGGACTCGGTGGAAATGGGTTTGGATTCTTCTTCTTCTTCTTTTTTTCTTGTAGTAACCCAATACCAAAATGTGTTCCTACTGAGTCACTTTGGATTCGTATTGAATATAGGACAGAGTAGAACTGCCCATGCTATTGGTGAATATGATGAGAAAGGCAAAGTTTAGTGAAAATGAGGGCATTTTCAAGATCCATTCTGTTTTATATCCTATGAATCACAAGGCAACTAGACTTCATTTTCAGATATGATTTCCCCATGATATTTTCATATGCCTTATTTGGCTGCAAGATTTGGATGAAATGTAACTTTAAAAATACTATGAAACCAATATAAGAGCTCAGGGAGGTATTCAATTGCCCAAGATCTTATAAGGGCCCTAAACACGCTTCAAAACAAGCCCATCCTAGCTCTTAAGCCCACACCCTTCCCGGATGATCAGATAAAGGGCGAATCTCATTCTCATGAAATGCTAAGTGCTCAGGGACATGAATGTGTGAGGACAGAACTTGGCCCAGGCACAGGATCGCTATAATTTAATGGTAGAATTACTCCCCTGGTAGAAAGATACACAGACACAAGTTATTCTTTGAATCCCAACCATGCAAGTGTGTGTCCAAAATCACTCTCTTAAGTTATTCCACATGCACTTGTGAACATTAATATCATGGCTTCTGCAATTGGATTCTTCACTGTCCAGCTGCTGGGGCTAAAGGTGAAGAAGGCAGAACATTTGGGTTAAGATTCTGGTGACCTGGGATTCAGTCCCATTACTAGCACAATATACCAGGAGGCTTCAAAAAGTTTGTGGACAAATTTAATTCTCTTGTAAAAATTGTTGTACTGTGAAGTAGATGATCATCCGTTTTATATTCAACAGTTTCATACACATTTTGTTTCCAGTCCTCCATAGCATTCCGGTCAGTGCCCATCACTTGTCCCCTCTTCTCTCTGGTTCCGCCCTCCTGCTTCCCTAACCTTTCTAAACATGGTGCTTGGGTCAATGCTGCCCTGTTGATCCCGAATGATTGGTTAATCCACGGTGTGTGGAAGGCATCAGTGCTCTTGTCCGCTTACAGACCTTTCTAACCTTGAATTTGTTTGAACTCCTGCCGTACCGGTTCATTGTGTGTAATACAGAGACCAAAGATATTGCCAGCATCCTAGGATTGAGGAGACACGGAGTTGAGATTGGCCTGACATGGACTTGGCATCATGCCCGGCACAGAGTAAGCATTCACTAAAAATCGGCTGTTAGTACTCACGTGGATTCCTAGCTTTGTAAGATTTTACTTCATCTTCAGGGGAAAAGAGCTGCAAATTAGATGGATTCAGCTACTAATTATTTCAGTCCCCGCTACAATTTTTCTGCCCAAATGTCTCCTAGCCCATGATTGAATACTTATTGGATAACTGTGACTTTTCAAACTTCCTCATTTTAAGCTAAATTATGCTGAAATCTGTAGTTCTTGACATTTGGAAAAACGCAGAACAAATCTAAACCCTTTCCTCATAACAGCCCTTTGTGGATTTGAAAATAACTCTATTGACAGGTTAAATGTCCTCAACTTTTTAAACTTCCTTGGGAGTTTTCGGACCACTCCCTGAAGCTTTCATTTGATCTTTTCCTTCCTGTTAACACTAACGTTTTGTGAATAATCCCCTTTAAATGTGGCTTCTCCTTCCTCCCATTTGATTTCCTTGTCAACACCTTGAATATAGAGTCTGCTTCAGTCACTTCCCAAACTAAAGCTCAGAGGCTCTTCCCAGGAGTCAAAACAAAATGAAAATCAGATCATTAAAATGGACCCATATTTATTGAACAGTTTGCTATCTTCTGACCACTGTACTAGGAACATTACATGCATTTTTCTCATTTAATCCACACTAGAACCCTATTCTAAGGAGCCTTGCTTGTGTAGTGGCTACTCGTTGGGCTGCTAAACGCAAGGTCAGCAGTTCGAATCACTTGTGTAGTGGCTACTCGCTGGACTGCTAAACGCAAGGTCCGCAGTTCAAAATCACCAGCTATTCCTCAGGAGAAGAGTGAGGCTTTCTACTCCCATGATGAGTTATAGTCTCGGAGACCCACAGGGCAGTTCTACCCTGACACACAGGGTCACTAGGACTTGGAATCGACTAGATGGCAGTGAGTTTGTTTTGGTTTTTAAGCAATATCCTACAAGAAGTATAACATAATATCTCCATTTTGCTCTTGAGAAATAATGAAGTTCCTAGAGTTTGAGTGGGTCAAGAACTTGCCTATAAAAAGTGGCAATGGAACAGGGAGGGTCCAGGAGCATTGGATTTAGAAGTGGGCTGTTTATTTCCCATGTATCTGAATGCTAGGTATATAAATACCTGGGTGGTGAAAATGGTTAATGACCTTTGATGCTAATCAAAAGGTCGGTGGTTCAGTCCACCCACAGGAACATTGGAAGAAAGGGCTGGTGATGTATTTCCAAAGAAGTAGCCTGCAAACGATGACCCTTCAAGGCACAATTCTACTCTGGCACCCATGAGTGTTCCCAGGAATCAGGATTGACTAGACAGCAACTGGTTACAGGGGTACAGATGCGTGAATGGGGAGCAAGATTAAATAATCCGTTCAGTTCATATACCTGGGCAAAATCACGTCAAAGATGCATACATTAAAAGGAAAGTATGTAATGAGGCTAGTAGTCTAGCATATATATTATAAAAGTCTATTATATGTGTGTGTATGTATTATGCATATATATAGAAAATAATTCACAAGACATAGAAAGATAGCATATTTCATATGAGACATCCTCTTCATTAGTTTCTTATATTTATTAAATTGCCTATAAAATAGATGTATTTAGACATATTGATAAATGATCAAGCTATGTAAGTATAGGTACAGATGATAGAGATAGCAAAGAGATATAAACAGGGAATTATAAAGAAAAGGATAGAGAGATATAGGTGTACTGGGGTAGAGATAGAAATAGAGAGGGAAAATTAAAGGAAAACTATGGCCCAGAATGCTAGACACCAAGTTCAGGATAATGGTTGTGTCTAGGAGGAAATGAGAGACAAAGACTAGTGTGTGTGTTTGTGTGGGTGGTCGTAGAAGGGGGGGAAATTACTGACCCACAGTGACTCCTGTCTTAGAAAGTAGGATTGCCCCACAGGGCTTCTTGGCTGTCTGCTTTATGGAAGATCACCTTGTTGCCCCGGGTGATTTGAAACACCAGAACCAGGTCTGTAGTGGAGCACAAACCATTTGCACTATCTAGAGTGATAGAGGGAGCCCTGGTGGCATAGTGGTTATGAGTTGACTGCTAATAGTGAGGTCAGAAAGATGAGGCTTCCTTCGCCTGTGAAGAATGACAGTCTTAGAAACCCTCCTGGGCAGTTCTACCCTGTCCTACAGGGTCACGATGAGTCACAATTGACTAAATAGCAGTGAGAGGGAAGTCGAAGGAAGGGACTTCAATTGTATATACAATTTCTTCTTTAATTTCTGTACTTATACAAGTTATATCTGAATAAAAATATAAGTAAGAGAAGGAGAATGGGGGTACAGTGAATCCTCGCCACTTCGCGCTTCGACTTCCGCGGCTTCACTCTTATCGCGGTTTTTGCGTAACAGCGCATGCTCTGTCATTACTGCCACTGATTGGCTCATACTGTACACGCTTGATGCCATAAATAATATAATAAATAATAAATGATCATTGTAACGTCCAAAATGTTTTACTGCATTTCCCCTTTTTCGTTTAATAAATTGGGTAATACGAGTGTAATGGTGACTAAAGGGTGTTTTTTCATGTCCTCTATGCTCTAACTACGAAAATATTTGATTTACAAATAAGGAATCCTACTTTGCGGAATTTCATTTATCACGGTAGGGTCTAGAACCGATTAACCGCGATAAACGAGGGTTCACTACATAGAGGAAGAGTTCACGTCAGTGACATTTCTTTTCTTTTAAAATGATCTGTGCCTTGCATAAGAAGCTTATAAATTATAGTATACTGTAAATGTTATATCGTTCGACCTTATACTGTGTTCTCATAAAATAGGACTAATTCACATCCACGTCTTTAAGAAAGATAATAATAGTCATAAGCTTCCTGAAATAGCTCGTGCTTCGCCTCCCCTGTATCCCTGTCCACTCTGACCACCATGCTTCTCTCGGCAGGCAGTGGGCTGTGATCGTCAACTGGGCAGTAAGGCCAAGGAAGACAGTTGTGGGCTCTGTGCTGGCGATGGCTCCACCTGTAGACTCGTGCGGGGACAAGCCAAGTCTCATGTTTCTCCTGAAAAAAGTAGGTCGAACACCCAACACTTGGTTACCATAGAACAGAGCATGCCTTAGATTGTCAGTTATAAGGACACCATTTCCCTACTACTAAGCTTTTTAGTTGGAAAGACCCTTTGACCAGTTTTCCGAGTCACATCTCTTACAGAGTGCATATGGGATTTTTGTTCCTGTGACCGCTGCGTAAGACCGCCTGTTTCTTAAAAAATTTGCCATTTCAGGGTATTACTGTTTTTTAAGTATGTGTCAGTTTGTTCCATAAACCATGAATAACAATTTCTTTAAATTGGCTTCCTGTGATTGCTGACAAGATGGAAGCGATTGTCTTCTGTGGATGGGCCATGTACGAGTTGCATGTTTCAAGGAAGTATTGAGACAATGTACCCATTTTCCTGGTTAGAAATGGCTGTTTCCCTTACTGACTGAGTTTTCAATAGATTGAGAATGTTAACTCTTTGTTACACTTATTAAGGTTGCCGTTTGACTTTCAATTTTGTTTGTGTGCTTGAGAACTAATAAGGTTCTGAGTTTAAAGTTTTTTGAATATTTCTGTGTGTGCTGAGAATTGCTGCATTGAAAAAATTATTTAATGTAGTATTAAACTGTTTCTGAAAAGGGGCAGAGAACCAGTCTTGTAGGCTTTGGAAGCTATGTTGTCTCTGTCCCAATTACTCAACACTGCCTATGTAGGTAAAAGCAACTACAGATAATATGTCAACAAATGGGTGGGGCTGTATTCCAATAAAACTTTTAAATAGTCTGCAGGCTATATATGGCCTTAGGTGGCAATTTGTTGACCTTTGCTTTAAAGGGAAAAAATGATTCACCTATGTTTTCTGCCAGTACTTATTTTCCTCCTGTAATTCATTCTAATTCACTTTGATGTAACCAGGAGAGGTAGAGTGTGGAGATGGATTTTCAGGCAGAGGAAAACAGGATATTCAAAAGTCTTTTGGAAGACATACTAGTATGTTGCCCAGGCTTGAATGAACATTATATGTAGTAGAGAACACAGAATGGCATGCAGAAGCCAAGCATGTTCCATGTTTTGCTTCAAATTTCAGGTTAAATTCAGGAATCATTAAAGCAATTTAGGCAGTGGAGTGACTTGATTAAATTTGTGTTGCAGTAAAATAATTCTAATTGTAAGTGAAGGTCAGATGACCTGTGCTGTAAGCCTGGAAGGAGGGAGTACAATTAGGAATCTTCCCTCCTCCCCACCTCACTGCCAATCTGGATGGTTTGGAATGATGAAACACTGGCCCGTGGCTTTATGGAAGGCGATGAACCGATGAACAGTGTGCTAGTGTGGGTAGACTAAAGAAACAAAATTCATAAAAAATCTTATTTTATAAGAGAGTTTTATATAAAGGGTAATTATACATTAAGCATCCCAACCAAGCCCAGTCCAAGCCCGTAAGTCCGACATTAGCCCATGTGTCCGACACTGACCTACAAAGTCCTCCTCAAACTCACAAAAAACATGAAAAACACGCAATGACGCTGACTGCAGGAGGAAAGCCTATTCAGTGAGCATGTAAGCATCTCAGCGCTGGCAGGGGTCTCCACGCAGCTGCTCCAGCACCCAGGGCTGCATCGGGGTAGGTCCATGTGGCTTCTCCTCAGGGATGTCTCACAGGAAGTGAGCCTTGCTGGCTGAGGCAGTCACACAGTGGTCGGACCCTCAGAGCGCAAGAGACCAGAGAACTAGAAAGGCAAGGCTCACGGAGCCATTTATCTCTGCGCCCTTCAATTAATCCCACATGTGTTTATCAGCCAGGTTGCCACAATAAGCCCTAACTATCACAAACAGGAATAGACAGGCTGAAGAAAGATATAGGTGGAATCAACACAATTGTAACTCTTTGAAACAAGATTATAATATTAAACAGTTCATCAAAAACAAACTCATTGCCATCGAGTCGAGGCTGACTCCTAGTGACCAGTGGACCACCCCCCACCCTCACCGTTGATTTCCAAGACTGTAGCTGCATAGGGAAGTGGACTAATGCAAGTTTTCCAGCTAGAGGAGCTGAGTGGACATGTTTGCTGTCCATTTGGATAAGGCATTCCTAAAGAGGAAATACATATCAAAGGTAAGAGCACTCTGAATTTCCATACTCTCCAAAAGTTTGGCCTCATGAATTCTCAGCACCTTGATGGCTTTCTAATACCTTTAAACAGATTTTGAAGGGCATCTTGTTTGTGATTGGAGGACTGGTCACGGATTGCTGGTAGCAGAGCCCTCTGTTGGCGCTATTTTGTTATGCATGTGTAAAAGTGCATGTGTAGAGTCTATCAGGAGAAGAACGCCTGAAACAAGGTAGTGAGCCAAGGAGGAAGTCAACAAAGGACTGCTGAGGAGGAATGGGAGCAGTAAGTAGCAGTAAGTAGAAGCAGTCGGATCAAAACTTCATACAAGATATCATAGACACCAAAGCAATACATAATTTCTAAAAGGAGCTAATGGCCGGTGAATGTTGTGAGGTCAACATGAATACAGGGTCTAATTGTTTCTCGACCATAACGTGAGTGCTTTCAATGATTTGCAATGTGTTGATGAATAAACAGAAGGTGAGAATAGAAGGGAGGATTTGACCCAGACAAGAAGGGACATACCAACACCCTGTCAATAGTTGGATACCTGGACAACAAACGCAGTTGGGGTTGATGCAGAGAAATTAAGTGAATCCCAGACTCTTGGCTTTGACTGTCTCTCTTAATTCAGATGAAGCCCTGGTTGCAGCTAACCACAAGGTCAGCAGTTCTAAACCATCTGCCGCTCCTTGGGAAAATGATGAGACTTTCTACTCCTGTAAAGATATACAGTCTCAGAAATGCACAGGGGCAGTTCTATGCCATCTTATCCGGTTCCTGTCAATTGGGATTGACTGGACGGCAGTGAGTTGGGTTTGGGGTTTGGATCATCAGGAAGGAGAGTGGGACTGAGGAGAATGTTATTAATGAGAAAAGGAGTGGAAGGACGCCAACAAGAGCGTGACAGTTTAGAGAAGCACTGGCAAGAGGCTGGCTCAGACAGGCGTCTGTGAACTCATAGAAGGTTGAATCTCTGGATTTCATAGGGGAGGAAACTTTGAATGTTGGTGTATTAGTAAGGAATGTATCCTATTGAAAATACAAATATCCCAACGTATAAAGTAGTCTGCTGTCTTTTTTAAAAAGAAGTCTGGAGTAGGCAGGCGAAGGCTAGGAAACCATTCTATATCTTTAAGGGACCAGAATCTTCTTTCTTCTTCAAGGGTGGCTTTCATCCCTGTGATTGGAATATCACCATGGATTGATTATTCATGCCTCACCGCTGCATCTCCCAGGCAATGAAGAAGATAGTGCAAAACACAGTGTTTTGATCTTATATTCTCTTTGTTCAGGGAGCGAAGCCCTCCCCAGGGAATTTTGCTTCACTGGCCAAAACTGTGGCACATGATATCCTAGATTCTAGGGCAACAAGGAACCAAATATTTAAGGTCCCACCCATTCTGTTATTGCTAATATTAATTGAATGCTTGGCCAGTCAAAAGAATTCTCTTCAGCTATCTAGCTTTACTTCACCAGCAACTTGCATTGTGCAATTTTGTTTTGTCAAATCAGTTTTACAGATGAGGAAGGCAGGACAGGAGACATTAAAAAATATTGTTCATCATTGATTATGGAGGGAAGTTGTTAGGAGCTCAGTTTGGGACCAGGTTGCCTGCATTTACCTTCCAGGTCTATTGCTTCCTGACTAGGAAAGCAGGGCAAGTTAGATAACGTGCTCATGCCACGGGCGCTCTCAGTTTGAACTGAGAAACAATAGAGCTTCCTTTGTAGAGTCGCTTTTAGGATTATATAACTCAACTCAACTCCAAGTAGTCTCTGACACCCAGAGAGGGCTCACTACTGGCTTTGTCATTATGAGAAATATTATTTATTTGGGTTCCTAAAGATGTCACACCTCTTACACACGTTGAATGTAAATGTGGGCCTTTGTAAACAGATTTTTAACTCAATCCTTGAATCAATCAAAAGCTTCTTGTAAAGAGAGCTACAAGTGGGTAGGGGTGCTATGGGTTGGCACGGACTTGGTGGCAGTGAGACTAATGAGGATGGAGGACACTGTGGACATGTCAGAGAGGAGTCACTTCTCCCCATGGCAACCGAGCCCGTGCCAACTCATACCGACCCCGTAAGGCAGAGCAGAACTGATCCGGAGGGTTTCCGAGGCTATACATCCTTACAGGAGCGGATTGCCTCACTGTGCTCTGAGCCGCTGGTGGGTTTGAATGGCTGACCTTGTGGTTAACTGTAGCTTAACCCTTAACCCACTCCATTGCCAGGACTCCTTGAGTAAATCATGGGGGAAGACGATTTAAAGAGATGGACTCTCTTGGGAAGGGTTAATTCAGGAAGGTTTTTGGATCTAGAAGATTAAAAGAGAGAGAGGGGAAAAAGCTAGCTTCGGGTGTTGGGGAAATGCCCGGAGCTAGAATTGGCCTACAACATTTTGGAAAGCTCAGCAGAAAAAAATCTTGTTTTGTTAGGGTCCAAGAGAGATTAGAACTGGAGATAATTTTAATTGAACCAACATAGAAGTCGAGTGAAAATGTGTCAAGAAATCCGTCTTTTTCGGAGACAGACGAGGCCCTGAGATGAGAAGGGGTAGGACGGGCTGATCTCTTTGCACTTGGTAATTCTTCCCTCGCTGGGAAGGTAGTTCCTAGTGTCGCTCTCTTTTCCCCTTTCTCTTTCTTTGTTGATCCATTTTTGAGCAATAGATCATTTTGAGACGGTGTTGAAAGCTTGGCAGATCCTCTCCAGGAAAAAGCTCATGTGCACACGGGCCGCCATTTTGGTTTATTTGGGGCGACCACAGTGTGTCCCAGCCCCTGATGCCAAGTCAAGACTTTCCAAGCTAAGAACTCTCAAAATACCTATGTTTTAGATCATTGTCTAAAAAGAAAGGGACACTGAAGGCCCCATCAGATCACTGAGCACAGCGGGGAGCAAGGA